TAAAATCGTCAGTGCATTATCTATGCAGCAGTAAAAGGAGAATGAAATTTCTGATCTATGTCTAATTAAGTATATATCTGTGTAAGCATCACAACTTTTTTCAGTGCTGTGTTCTCATTTAAGTAAAAACACTGGTCTTTGTCTTGCACCATGTTGAGATTACCTTTTCTAGTACTGTTACTAGAAAAGCGAGTGGCAAGAAGGGAATGGGAGTTTTTTTTCAGTAGTCTTTTTGCTCATCTGTACATTTCTCAAGTAGAACTAAGTAAGTACATTTTTTTTTCTTTGAGACAAGGCTTTCCTTGGCATAGATATTTTTCCCTGAACTGTGTTCTTCCCTGCAGCAAAGTCTGTTTGAGTCATGATAGATCTCTTTCTGCTGAAAGACCAAGTTCTGTTCTGTATACATACCAATACTGGAGCTGGTGACATCTGAATAGCCACTTCAAGGGTCCTGGAGGGTACAAACCTCACTACAGCAAGTATGTTTTTTGTGTACACAGAAACACGTCAGTGTTGTGTAATTGCTAGTCCCTGTGTTGACAATACACTGATTTATGTGTGAAGGCTCAAACCAGCATGGTTGGAGTAGTTCAAGTCAGATACTACTACATCTAAAAAAAAATCGTATAAAATCATTGTAATTAGACTGCTAGCAAAGTGGCAAGTTGTAGGTGCAACTTTTTTTTTTTTTGAGCAGATAGGCCAGATAGATGGAAAGGCAAGTATAGGTGGTGTTATATTCCCTTGGGGAGCTGTTAGGTAGATGATGTTCCCAAGTAGAACCTTGTGATAAAAGAGTCTGTAATTCATTTGGCTGCCCTTTAGGTTCATGTCAAGCTTCTTTGTGCTTCCTGGGCTAAAAGGCTGAATAGTGCATTAGCTGTTCTGCAGTTACTAGTATGAATATTTAAATATACTTCATTTGGCCAGGATAATACTCTTTTCGTACTTGTCTGAGCGACCAAATTTTTCCATGTATGTACATTGCAAAAATCTTAAAGAAGATATTTTTCAGTTCGAAGTGTATGACCAGAGCCAAGCTGGGAGCTGCACTAGCAGGTACAATACAAATCCCACTGTGTATAGGTCTTGGCCAGTTGTTCAGGCATCAAATATGTGTTTTTCTTACCTGTATAATAGGGGAATTATTTGATAATGCAGATTTGTGAATGAAATATGTAGAAAAACTGATTTTGTTACAGTATTGGGAAGCATTTATGTCTCAGATGTGTTATAAGGAGGGTATTCATAAATAGTTTTCTATATTTTACTGTGTGCATTTTAATTTTTTTCAAGGAAAATGCTAAGTACTGTTTTAGCTTTTGGGATTGAGGTTTCTCTTCCTTGTATTTCACAGACCTAGTCTTGACATCTCTATCTTTTTTGTGCTGTCTGATATTAACTAACCTGTGTTTCCTTAACTGGTGTTTCTCTCCCATAAGTATTTCTGTTGTTCCCTTGCCCCATACAGCATTTCATTCATTAGTCTGAAGGAAGCATGAACTCTATTTTAGTGTTCTTTAAAAATGAAGTTTCAAAGTGGGTATGGGCAGACAGGACAACACTGAGCTTTGCACAAGTACTTTTTGGCATCAGGGAAGTACTCTTATATTGTGCTGCAGATTATATACATGAATTTATATATATATGGTTACACACATAGAATTACAGGCAGCTTGGGGTAGATGAGGAAACAGAAGAGGGATTGTCAAGTATAGGAAATCTCTCTGAACCATCCATGTTTCCTCAGGATGCTCAAGTGCTGATTGCCCTTCTCTGCAGAAATGCACTCTTTAATGATTAAATCTTAGTGGTGCTTTTTCTTATCTACAGTTTTTTGAAGTACCATAAATGTATTGTTTTCAGTACTTCTGAACACATAAAATATTTGTCTAGATCATTAATCTGTAAACAAATGCGGTAACTGAAACATCTTTATTCTGTGCTGAATTCCAAGTGAAAATTTAGGTGAAGAAAAGTGTGAATGATAATAATAATAATGGTGATGATGATGAATTTAGACAATCAGAATATTTGGAGTTGGAAGAAGATTCATGAGCAACATCAAGCCCAACTCTTGGCCCTGCACAGGACATCCCTTAGAATCACACCCTGTGCCTGAGAGCATTGTCCAGATACTTGAACTCTGTCAGGCTTGGTGCCGTGACCACTCCCCTGGGGAGCTGTTCCAATGCCCAGCCTCCCTCTGGGTGAAGAACCTTTTTTTCTGATATCTGTCCTGAACCTCCCTTGACACGACTTCAGGCCATTCACTCAGGTCTTGTTACTGGTAGCCAGAGGAAGTTATATATGTCACCCCTCAGTCTCCTCTTCCCCAGGCTGCACAGACCAAGTGACCTCAGTTGCTCCTCATATGGCTTCCCCTCTAGGCCCTTCGCTGTCTTTGTTGACCTCTTTCGTATGCTCTCTGATATCTTAGTGTTTTTCTTGTATTGATGCTGAAAACTGCACATAATATTCAAGGTGAGGCTGCAGAAGTGCAGAGTAGAGCTGGACAGTCACCTCCCTTGACTGGCTGGCAGTAGTGTGCCTGATGCACCCCAGGACATAGCCCTCCTGGCTTCTAGGGCACAATCATACTTGGTATCGACCAGGACCCACAGGTCCTTTTCTGCAGCACTGCTTTCCAGTATCTTGTTCCCCAGTCTGTATGTACATCCAGGATTGTGACTCATCCCAGGTCCAGAATCCAGCATTTGCCCTTGTTAAACTTCATATGATTGGTGATTGGCCAGCCCTCTAATTTATCAGGGTCTCTCTGCATTCAGGGGAGTGAACAGCTCCTCCCAATTTTCGGTCTTCAGCTGACTGACTTAGTATTCTGTGAAGTCCTGTGTCCAAGTCATGTGTGAAGATGTTGAAGAACCCTGGGCCTAAGATGGAGCCCTGCAGAACTTCCCTAGTGACTGGTCACCAGCCTGATTTAGTCCCGTTCACTTTAACTCTTTGCACCCAAGCCATGAGTCAGTTGCTCACCCATTGCATAATGTGTTTATCTGGTTGTGTGCTGGACATTTTGTCCAGAAGGATACTCTGAGATACTGTATCAAACTTTGTTGAAATCCAAACAGATTACATTACCTGGCTGCCCTTGATCATCTAGATGTGGAAGGAAATCAGATTTGAGAAGTAGGGCTTTCCCCTCATGAATCCATGCTGGCTGTGACCAATGACTGCGTTGTCCTTCAGGTGTTTTTCAGTACCTCCCAGAATAATATTTTCCGTAACCTTACCAGGTCTGTAGTTACCAGGGTCATCCTTCTTGTTCTTTTTGAAAATGGTGATAGCATTATCCAGCTTCCAGTCAACTGAGACATCTCCAGATTCCCAATACCGATCAAAAATTATTGAGAGAGGCTTTGTAAGGACTTCAGCCTGCTCTTCAAGTATTCTTGGATGAATCCCATCAGGCCCCATAGATTTAGAGGGATCCAGCAGATCCCTCACAGCATCAGGGTCAGCTGGGAGTTCATCGTTCTCACAGCCATGGTCCTTCAGCTCAGGGCACTGAGTCCCTCTTAGTCCATGTGCCAAGTCAGAATGGTAACTATTGATCTCAAACAAAATTTCCTTGAAGTTACTTCAGGTTCTTTTGTGTAGGTAACATGCAAGTTAGCTCTCAGATAAACAGGTTGATTTTTGTATTTGCACTAAAGCAATGCAATTTATTAATTATAACTTGAAGTAAAATGTAGGATACTGTTTCTTGCTTGCAGCCTGTACTATTCGGTGCTGTTTTCATGGCAGATTTGAGAGAAACCAGGTCAGCCTTTAGGTTCTCATACAACCAGGACTTGTATGCAAGACACTCAAGAAGCTCTTGAATAGTGTATTAGATGTTCCTAAAACATTTTTACATGACTCACCAGTGTGGTGGTGCTCTGCTGACAGCAAATCTGTGTTCCACATAGCTAATGGTTCTAGGGACAGTGGCAGTAGGCATCATAAATGCTGCTATCTCTGACAATTTAGTAGCACTTTGTGGCATTTCTGTATTAAGTTTTTGGTGTGTAAAGTCTACTGTCAGAGTGGTTTCTCTGGGACAAGGAAAGTGTGCGTAGACTTGCTCTGTAATATTCAGCAGTTTCTGTGCACAGTGATGAAATTTCTCCTTTGGTGTTGGTAGTGTAAGTTTGCAAATTAAGGTAAACACATCATAATTTTATAAGGTTGAGGTTCTGTTCAGCTGAAAGATTTCTAATCAGTATGGAAACTGAGCTGTATTCTGGTGTGTCTAGCTGGATGACTACCAAATTTAGGCATTTTCAGACTGGTGTTGTTATAAGAACAAAAATTCTCGAATAAAATATGTTTAAAGGTCTAGGTAAAGAAGTTTAGCATATGTTGCTTTTAACATATTGACTACATAGGATCCTGAAAAATATGATACTCTGCCACGAAGGTAGGCTGAGAGAGTTGGGATTGTTCCAGCTGGAGAATAGAAGGCTCTGGGGAGACCTTAGAGACCCTTCCAGTGCCTAAAGTGGCTCCAAGAGAGCTGGAGAAGGACTTTGGACAAGGGCCTGGAGTGACAGGACAAGGAAGAATGGCTTCACACTGACAGAGGTCAGGGTTAGATGAGATACTAGGAATAAATTCCTGGCTGTGAGGGTGGTGAGGCACTGGCACAGGTTGCCTGGAGAAGCTGTGGCTGCCTCATTCTTGAAAGTGCTAAAGGCCGGTTTGGATGTGGTTTGAAGCAACCTGGTCCATAACAGGGGGGTGGAGTGAGATGGTCTTGAAGGTCCCTTGCAACCCAGACAGTTCTGGGATTCTGTGAACCACACCATCTGTAACTGAAAGCAATTATTTGTTTAGGCAATACTGTGAAGAGCAGGGCCGAGTGAGTTATTTGTATAAATTATTTTTTCTGTCTTGTGCAGGCTGCTCTGTTGCTAAAGTCCACATCTAGTTCACCCGGTCTTCCAGACCACGTGCTCTATGCTTTGAGACCAGGAGGACCTTGTTGTTCTGCAATGAAGATGGAGGCAGTAGGTAAAGCAGAAGAACTTGTTGATTCAGAAGTTCCACCGAAGACTTCTGAAAAGCAAGAAACTATTCCCGATGAGGATGGACCTATAGGACTTGTGACACAAACTGAAGAAGACAACATGCCCACTGCAGCAGACTCTGTGGTGCTCTCTTCCATGCCTTGCTTACTGATGGAACTGAGGCGAGACTCCTCAGAGTCTCAGCTAGCATCTACGGAGAGTGATAAGCCAACTGGTGGTCAAGCTTATGAGAGTGACTCTTCTAATCACTGCATGCTTTCTCCTTCTTCCAGTGGGCATTTGGCTGACTCAGATACATTGTCTTCTGCAGAAGAAAATGAGCCCTGTCAGGCTGAAGCTGTTGTGGAGGGAGACCCTTCTGCAGTGCCTGGGGCTGCAGCTGGGAGGAAATCCAGGAGATCCAGGTCTGAAAGTGAAACTTCAGCAATGGCTGCCAAGAAAAACCGACAGTCTAGCGATAAGCAGAATGGTCGAGCTACCAAGGTAAAGGGTCATCGAAGCCAAAAGCACAAAGAGAGAATCCGGCTCCTGAGACAGAAGCGGGAGGCAGCTGCGCGCAAGAAGTACAACCTGCTGCAGGACAGCAGTACCAGCGATAGTGACCTGACGTGTGACTCGAGCACGAGCTCATCAGATGATGATGAAGAGGTTTCAGGGAGCAGCAAGACAATCACTGCGGAGATACCAGGTAGAGGATGTTTTTTAAACTGAACTGTAATGCGTCTGACATCGTTACTCAGCTGTCATGCTAAATTAGATGAGTGACGCTTGAGAAAACCCCAGGAGAACTGCAGCTCTGTGTAAATTTGAAGACTGCAGTATATTAACAAGACATGGGTAAACTTTAAAATATGTTATGAGGTTTCAGTGCGTTTTCACAAACCAGCAAAGCATAGAAATGGTAAATGGGAGAAAGGACTACCTTTGAATTCTGGAATTTTCAGGGTTTTTTTCTTTGTAAGCCTATATGAACTCCTGCCAGTGCCGTCAAATCCTAGTAGGTGGTGATAATCATCTTCTTAAGATAAGTGGCCAGCTTTGCGTTAGTATATAAAGACCTCAGCTTGGCAGCTGTGTTAGAACTAACATGGCGCAACTCTTGCCCGTGTTACAGTAAGGCCCTGTCCATTACTGCACTTATGCTGTGCTTTCAGCTTGATGTGTCAGTGCATGACAAACCTGCTTAGCCGTATTGTAAGTCCTTGTAGATTGCAGCTGGTCACTTATTCTCGGATATAAATACGAATTTGTTTACACAGGTGCCCAAACTATATTCACACCTAAATTTTCAACATCTTAGACAAAGCTGTTAGCATTTTCCTATGTTATAAGGTTCAGTACATTTAAATTTCTGACACGTGTGTGTTAAGATTGGAGGCAGTAAGTTACAGGGGCCTTCCTGTCACGTTATTAGTGAAAGAAAGTTGAGTTCTTCAAGATATTTTTTTTCTGCTAAGTCTTTGTTATTTTCTTACCCCAAGTGCCGTGGGCAGGATTTTGTGTGAATTATTCTTTCAGCATATTGAGCCTTCAAAAATAAAACCACATAAAAATAAACTTTGCGTGTGGAAATGCAAGTTCAGTTGAAACTATATGGATTCTCCTGAGAATGTTTTCATTGGCCTGAGGAGTCATAGTCTTGGGCTCCTTAATTTGGGGAATGCCATGATTTTTGGATTATTGCAGATGAGGAGCAATTTTTTAACCTTTTAATGACTGAGCCTGTCAGTAGGCATTTAGGATATTACCATTCTTAAACACCAGGTAAACATGGCATAAGTGTCCTGAAACAGGTTCTGCTAGAATTGCTGCTTTTGGAAGTTTTTCCCTTAAACAATTTTACATTTGATGCTGCAAATTAACTCTGAATGAAATTGGCTCAAGAGCAAGTCTAGGAATCAAAATTTATTTCTGTGTAAACAGTTCTGGTTTGGAAGGAGGAAGGAGTTCTTAAAAATTCAGATATATTATGAAAATATTGACATTTCACCACCATTGTGCTTTCTCCAACTTACAAAAAACTGAATTGAAATGGAGTGACTCAGGTTTTAGGCTTTCAAAAACTGTCAAAAAGTTTGAGTGTTGATGTTGAAAAGGTGTTGCAATTCACTTGGTTAAAAAAAAGAAAAATATGCACAATTCCAAAGAGACTGGCATGGTACATGTTAGGTGCTTGACCAGGTTCATGCATCCTAATAATTGTGCATAGACCTTGGATAAAGCATCTTGAAAGGGTTGAGTTTGGTTCAAGTAACTCAGAATTACATTTATCTGATAAAAAAAATCTGTTAATGATTTGCAGTAAAATATTAGTTTGGAAATGTTGGTAGCATAATGACAGAGGACTCCAGCATTGCTAGTTAGAATGAAGATGAAGCATATCTTAAATTGTTGTGTTGTCAGACTTCCTAAATTAAATAACTTTGGATTTGGTTATTTGGTTAGTACTTAATAGGTCCCATAAAGAGAGAGCATTGGGGCACTTAGGTGCTGCTTTGCAGGTGACATTTTCTTAAAAATAAGATACTACTCTTGGGTTCTGACTCCTTTGTGATTGCAAATTTCTTTGCCTTTAAACTTGGTGTAACTAATATAGAGTGGCAAATTTATAGAAAGAAGAGGGACCAGTTAAATAAATACTAGCATTTTTAATATATAAAAATGCGCTTTGAGGCTTGACTTTTTTTTTTTGACCCTGTAGTGAAGTTTGAACAAGACTTGTTATAACAACTACAAGGGAACAATTTGAAACGTTGTTTTGCTGCTACTGTAAATTGTATATACACTAAGAATGATGCCTTTAAAAAATAGTATTGCAGGGTAATATGTATTTCAATACCTAGTTTCTTCAGTTTACAAAAAATTTTGCCACTTTGACTATGCTAGTTCATACTTAACTTTAAAAACCTAGGTACATTGTCTCACAGATGACCATCAATTAAAAATTTAACATCATATATTTGTAAGCCTGTTGAAATTAGAAAGACTTATCCTTGATTTCAGGATAAGATCTCTGACTAAGGACAAATCAACAAGATATATTGGATGTTAAATACTAGGAGTAAATGGATAGGAGAAGCTTTTCTTTCAGGGAGGAAATTTGTGTAATTAATGTTAGTTAAAATGTAGATGGAGGGATGTAAATTGGTTGCTATAAAGTAGTTATTTTTGAGCAGGGGACCTGAATGCTGAATTTCCAGCCTGTTGGATAGGTAAAGATGAAAATTTGAAAGACTTACAAACTAGGGGATTTAATAGAACATTTTTGGCCCCCTACAGTAGCTTTGTTACTGCTCAGAAATAAGAGAATAATCATAAGCTTTCTTTAGCTGTTACTGAAGGACTTAGGTATACCTCATTTAAATAGCTCCTAAAAGAATGTGTTAATACTGTAATTTCATGTACACAGTGAAATCCCAATAAAGATTTAGTGCCTTATGTTTTTATTAGTAAATATTTGCTTAGGTTGTGCAATGATTTCTCCTACTCCTGGGGTATTTTCTATTATTCTGAAGTTAGAGGATGCTACAAGTTTCACATTTACATATTAAATGGTCAGGTTCTATTGCTGCTTTGTGTAGTTTAATGTGATGCTTGTCTTGTTCTGGAATTACCTTAGGTAACATTTGTGTGTTTGGGTGGCATGTACATACTGTTTATGATTCCTCAAGCAGGTACAGAGCTTTGTTTTCTTGGGGCTTTATTGCTTCTTAGATGATTCCTAAGTAAACTCCAAACTTAAACATACAGATATCACTGCCTTTTGTTATTGATATGCAGAGTAAGGTAATGAGGATGGTCTTCTCTTCTTGCTGATGAAGTGCTTGATAATCCCGAAGCTTGTCATTTTCACAGTCTTTTTGATGGGTAGCAGGAAGGAGAACAATTTCCTCCCAAGTATGCCCAGTTTTCTGCCTTGCCTAGGACTAACAGTAAAAATGCCGATGAAGGACATGGTTCCTAGCTGGTGTGAGGCTGGTCACTGTCACTGCTGTGTGGATTGCCCCTGTGATGGAGCCATGTCCCTCACACCTGGCAGGGATTGTGCTCACCTCATGTGTTAGCATAACACTCGCATATGTTTGCATGTTTGTGTTTGTTATGTGTTCTCTTCATCAGTGTTCAGTGTTTTCCAAAATTAGACCAAGAACTTTGGGCTCGGCTGCTTTAGATGCTGCAGTCACTTAATCAGCCTTTATCTCTGTTATTTCATGTACAATTTTGTCTGTGTTTAACAGGCTGTTATAAAAGAGTTCAAATATGTAAGTAAAATGCATGTAATTATTCAGGTATATCAGTTAACAGCATTTTGGATCACAGCCTAACAGAACTAAACATGTTATTGTATAATGTTTTTGAAACTTTCAGGTGAATTCAAAAAAGAAACTGTAAGGGAGTTGGAGTAATTTTGTTTATTAAAAAAGAGACCTTTGTTACAGAACTGAGCTATCTAGAATAAAAATAAATTTAAAGCCAAAATTTCCGATATAACCTCAGTGACTCTAAAATGTGGGGGTTTTTGACAGTAATACTCTTGGTTAATATTTGGTAATTCCTTTCCTGTTGTCAATTCCAAGGGACAGAATTAGACAAGTTGTTTTCCTGAGTTAACATGCCTTAATAAAAAATATTATGTTCATACTTAATGATGTCTTATCAAATGGCCTCAATGTCTTTAAAGCTGGCTTCAGTCGTGCTGGGGGATCTGGAGGAGCGACCAGGGAAATTCCAAGATTGCTTGACAGGGGCACCGTGTGGGATAGGAACTGCATAGGCAATGTCCTGGAAGAGGCCATGAACTGCTTTGCCGAGATGCAGAGGCAGACAGAGGAGAAATTTCGCATGTGGATAGAAAAGCTAACCCATCTTGACACGGATGAAGAAAGCAAGCAACAACTGGAGCCCAGGGAGCCTAAAATTCAACTAGTTGGCCAAAGAATCCCCACTACCACACAGTCAGGGGCTTTCATACAGATGCCTGATAGCCAAGTACTTCCACAGCAGTCGTTTAATTCCTATGTGGGCTATCAAAATGTCAATGCTACGCTAGAGTTTCCAGTAACTTTTAATAACAATTTTCCACCTATCTTTCCAGAGAACGGGAATATGGCAGAGCCTGATATGAATCAATCATAAACTTAAAAAAATAAAATCTGATCTTTGCAATCTTGATGTTATTTTGGATTATGCTAAAAACAAGGTTTGTTTTTCTCTTGGTATATGTTTTTGTTTCCTCTTTTGGGTTTTATTACCTTGGTAGTGTTTGGGTTTTTTTAATTTAGAGAGAATATATGTAGTTTAAAACCACCAACGGTATACCCAAGTGCATGTGCCAGCACACACATATAAACACCTTTAAAGGTGTGAGGGAACCACCCTAAGCTTTAATCACCAAACTTGGGAAAATATAACTTAGAATCCTTGTTTAGAGACCTCAAAGGCAGTAGCACTATGGTTGCTACAGTAGGAGCATTCAGGGGATTCATGCAGATACTCTTTTTGCATGTTAAAACATTTATATGAGGAAATAAGTTTTATATTTAAAGAGGTGAAGTACCCTAGAGACTCAGACTAGATACAGACTCATAAAATTTCCTTAACTCTGTTTGCTCCCATGTTGTGCTGCTTGAGCATGTCAACAAGATTTTTCTTCATTTTTAGGTGGAATTAATAAGTAAGCTCACCCTA